CTGACTTCTCAGGTTACTAAATTAAGAAGGGGAGGGATATGAGGAGCTGCCTTGACCTCAGAGAGACATAAAGGAGGGTGCATGTCATGAATTGGTGGAGGAGGGGCAGTGGTCCCAGATTCACTGGCCTTACTGCTACTGGCTGCCTAGGAGCGAGTGGGTCTGGTCTCTGGACAGGCCTCTGTATTGGGCTCATTAGCCCAGTCTGGCCCTTTAGGCCTCTGGCATTTGCTTCCGGCTGTGAAATCCCTGCCTAGGACCATTCTGTCTCCTGATTCAGGGGCAGTTTGGATCCTTCTGAATCACAGAGCAAGCAAAGAGTCCTTAGGTCAGAATAGAATAGGAAAAGCCTGTGAATAATAAGGAAGGCTCCAGAGATAAGGGCAACAAATTCCAAAGGGGACTGATCAAACACCCCAGGTCGAGGGGCAACAGGACATTCTGGAACAAGGATGATAAAGGTATGCTAAGATAAGGGCTGGGACACAGAGACAGTTCTGGCCACAGGAACATTAAGGCAATGAGTGAGACCACTGAGGACTAACCAATCTCAAAGAGACTGGTGGGCTTTAGAATAATCAGGGAAAGAAGGTCTGTGTTCCCTGAGGCACGACTTTATTTCGGCTTCCTTGCTCCTCCCTGGCCTGGATTCACCGGCCTGGGAGTTCCACTTTATTTCTGTCCCTTTTCTCCTCAATAAACTTTTTCTTTCTCTAAGCTGCGGCTTTGTGAGATACCAATGCGTGGTGGTCCAGCGGCTGAGGCTCAGCGCTGCCAATGCAGCCTGGGATCTGTTCCTGGCTGGGAGACTAGGCCTGAAAACCTGAAATGATGGTATCACTTCCCAGGAGAACTGCTTCCACTGAACCATCCTGTTCCCCTCCCCTTCCCCAATTTGCCCTTGGGAGGAGGCCCCTGCCCCAGTCCTGACATCCTGGCCACCTTCTGCAGACCAGGGCTTCCCTCTTAGCCTTCCGACCCCCGCCCCTACCTGTAACCTGACACCTCTCCTTTCCCTAGAAGGACATCACTGTATTGTGGTCTCCCTTGTCCTTGATGCTCTAAACTTTTGTGCTAAGCCTTTATGGAGAACAGGGAAGTCTGTCATGAAAGAAACACTCCCATTGGCTCTGCAGATGAGGCAGGAGTGGCCTAGGTCCTGGGAACCTGGGAATTGAGTAGAAAACCTATAGCATCCTCAAAATGTCCTTTCCCTGTGGGATCCCTGGCCCTCCTGGATCTCTGTGCCGTTTTGATGCCCAGAGTTCCTGCTGGTCACTAAATGTCAGGCAGGCAGGGGGCCTCTCACCAAGGAAAAAAGTCCTGGTATGAGGAACATACTGGAAAACCAGTATGATCTGCTGAAAACAGCAGGCCAATTGATATTATGTCCAGATTAGCAATATCAGCTAGACTATCTTGTGAAGATTAGCAGAAAATTAGATAAGGATAGGAAATAGAGGCAGTAAGCTTTGATTAGTAGGAACTGTAGCGGCCCCCAGGCAATAGCCCTAAGTCACGCCACCCTAGCTTGTGCCAGACAAGGACGCATCCCCGACAAGCATCCCCATGTGCTTGCCCACTGTTGCCTCGCATGGTGGCAGCACTGGGAGTGGCGCGGGTCGAGACAGATCACTCAAAGTCCCCGTGGAGCAATGAGAAGCCTGGAGGGACTACACAGTGACAGTGCAGCCCCATCCATGGGCAGTGTCCTGTGTATTTAGAACCAGGGTCAGAGAAGGTGGCAACTACATGAAGGAATGTGCATGCGTAGGGGAGTATTATCAGGCATAGAGATCAGGGAGGCTTTGTCTGATGCAAACTAGGGTGGGATGGCCAGGGACTATAGCCTGGGGGGCTCCATGGTTCGTGCTAATCGAAGCTTACTATCTCTATTCCCTATTCTTTTTTTTTAAAGTTTTATTTATTTATGTATGCAAGAATTGGGGTACAGTTCAGAGGTGTGGGGGGGGTGAGAGGATTCGCCAGAGACAGAGTGGGGAACAGAACAGGCAGACTGACTGAAATACACTGCTGAGGGGAGCAGCGGGGAGACAGGAGAGGTCTGCTGTGCCATGTGGGTAGCTCCCTGGCCAGGGACAGAACTCGTGCTGCAGTGGCTGCGGATGGCTTCATAGGTTGCGTCTTAACCCTAGGGCCACCAGGGAGGCCCTCTATTCCCTATTCTTATCTAACTTTCTGCTGATCTTTACAAGTAAGGCATTCTAACGGATTTTGCTAATCTAGCCATGATATCTGCCAGCTGTTTTCAGCAGATACTGGTTTCCAGTATGTTCCTCATACCAGGACGGTTGCCTTCAGTGAGAGGTTCCCTGCCTGACTGTGCTTTTAGCTTGACCAGTAGGAACTCTGGGCATCAGTACACCAGCCCAGTGAACAAAGAGGGCCGGGGATCTGACAGCCCGCCTTCTCTGAACTTGATTCCAAATAAATGCGAGATTGCTATTGCATTGGGGCTGTGCTGACTTGGTGTTGTCCTCCCAGATTTCTCCTGGAAGGAGTAATCTCTCTTATATCCCTTGCCATTCCCAAAGCTGCTGCTCTGTAGAGTGGCAATTCCCATCCCTCATTTCCGTACTTGTGTTTGGGTTTTAGATAGAGAATTTTAAGCAGGTTAATGAGATTGAGTATCTGTATCTTGCCAGATTTGTGCTTTACGGAAATCTTGTGAATTATGGGGCTGTCACTGGATTTGGGGGATCTGGTGACTGCTAGGCATTTGTGGCTTATGGTCTTACTGGAACCCCCTATGGATGGTTTTCCAGCCTGTAATTCATGGTTGTGCATGCTGTATTTTTTCCCAAGACCACTGTTGGAATCCTGTATTCACTGCATAATGAGTATTTTATTTTTGGATGTGGATTACCTCTTAGGGAGGGAGCCTGTGGAAAGGTGGGTAATGAACTATTTTTGACAGAAATCACAAGTGCCAAAGAAAGTGGTAACATCCAAAGAATAAACAAGAGTGACCACCATTCAGCTGCAGAAATGGTGTTTGTGGCTCCCACAACTTGGCACTTTACATTGTATAACGTTTCAATCACCTGGTCATATTCACAATGAAAAAGGAGCCCAGGGTTCCCCAAGCATGCTTACTTGCTGCGCCTAATTCCCGGGTCCATTAGACTAAATGAAGGGCACCTCTCGGGCCCTGGAAAAATGCTTTTCAGGAGTTTCGTTAGAAAACTCCAATATATTGGCGACAAAGTAAAGAGACCACTATTTACTCTATACAAACATTTGTTGTATGGGTGTTTTCCTTAGCTGAGCTTTTTTTTTTTTTTTTTTTTTCAGAGGACATGCATGCAATTTAAAATCCCTTCAGCAGCCGGGGATCAAACTGGCGCTGCAGAGGCTGCGGGCAGCTTCACAACCCAGCGCCGGCCACTGGAGGAGGGTCCCACATGACGCGCAGACCTCTCCTGCCGCCCGCTGCTCCCCTCAGCAGTGTACTTCGTCATTCTGCCTGCTCTGCTCCCCACTCTGGCTCTGGTGAATTCTCTCACCCTCCCGTGCTTCTGACTGTACCCAGTGCATGTATAAATAAATAAATAAATCTTTAAAAAAAAAAAAAATAAAATAAAATCCCTTCAGGAGAGTCAAGTCCTAAAACCTGTCTTCAGAAACCCATGGCACTTTTCTAAATGGACTATTAAAATACTGATAAAGATTTAGATTAGGGGTACCCACCAACTCTTTGCCCACATAGAATGTCCCCCCCAGAGTGGTGTCTATCATGCAGAATCTTAACCTCACCCACCATTTCTTCAAAACCCATTAAATGCTAGTACTGTTGGGAGCTCGGATATTAAATATGGTGTTTGGTTTTTTGGGTTTTTTTTTTTTTAAGTTTAGAAACTAGAGACAGGCACACAGGGAACAGGTAACTGAATTCATGGTTCACTCCCCAAGCATGCACGTCTCCAACGGCTCCTGCCCGCTGCGCGGCGGGAACAAAGCTACAGTGTGACTCGGGGGGACGCGGGGAAGGTGGAGGGCGAGGTCCGCCCGGCGGAGGCCGGGGCGTGGACACTGGGGTTTATCTGAGGACAGTCCACGCCGGAGGGCCCAGCCGTCTACGGAGAGTCGGGGGACCGCGAAGCCCCTTCACCAGCCTCCCCCAGCCGCGCACCCTGCAGCGCCGGGGCCGCCGGGCGGCGGGGGGCGTGGTCGCCGGGCGGATAACGGGGTGCCCTGTCCAGCAGGCGCGGGGTCCCTCGGGCACCCAGCCGGGCCCCCGCCGCCGCCCGGGCCTCACGCCCCCCGGGCCGGCCGGCCCCGCCGCAGACCGCGCGGGCGGGGCGCAGCGGGGCGGGTCGGGCGCCGCCCGCGCCGGGAGATTTTTTTTTTTTTTTCGGTGCAACTTCGGCCACGTGAACCGCCCCCCATTCACTTCTGCGCCAATCGCGCGGCGCGGACGGATCCCGAGAGGGGCCACGCGCCGCCGCCGCCGCCGGGGCCGCTTCAAAACGCGCCGTGCGTGACGTGAGGGGCGCCGGTGGCCATGGCGAGCTAAGCCGGAGGATGTGCAGCTGCGGCGGCGGCGCCGGCCACGAAGAGGACGGGGCAGGGCGCAGCGCGAGCGGAGCCGCAGCGGCGGGGGGACGCGGGCCGGGCGCGGCCGAGGCCCGGACTCGGCCGCCACAGCCGTCGCCGTCGCCGTCGCGCTGGCCCCGCGCCCCCGCGCGCGCGCGGGAGGAGCCGCCGCCGCGTCGCGCCCGAGCGTCGGCCGGCGCGCGCCGGGCATGGTCCCGTCTTAAAGGCGCAGGCCGCGGCGCGCGGGGCGGGCGTGCGGAACAAAGCGCCGGCGCGGGGCCTGCGGGCGGCTCGGGGGCCGCCATGGGTGCGGCGGGCCCGCGGCGGCCGCGGCGCGGCCCGGGCCGGGCCTCGCGGCTCTAGGGCGGGCTGGCCTCCGCGGGCGGGGGCGGCGGGCTGAGGGCGCGCAGAGCGGCGGCGGCGGCGGCCCGGCGGGCGGAGCGGCGCGGGCATGGCCGCGCGTGGCCGGCGCGCCTGGCTCAGCGTGCTGCTCGGGCTCGTGCTGGGCTTCGTGCTGGCCTCGCGGCTCGTGCTGCCCCGCGCCTCCGAGCTGAAGCGAGCGGGCCCGCGGCGCCGCGCCAGCCTCGAGGGCTGCCGGCCGGGCCAGGCGGCCGCGGCTTCTTCCCAAGCCGGCGGGGCGCGCGGCGATGCTCGCGGGGAGCATCCTTGGCAGCGCGGCCCGGCCCCAGACGGCGGCCAGCGCGACAGGAACTTTCTCTTCGTGGGAGTCATGACCGCCCAGAAATACCTGCAGACCCGCGCCGTGGCCGCTTACAGGTGAGCCCCTGCGCCCCGGGCGCCGCCCCTCCTTGCGCCCGGCATCCCCACGGGCTGCCCGCCGGTGGCGCCCTCCCCGCCCGCTTCCCAGACCACCGGAGGCGCCAGGGCAGCCGTGCCATCGGGATGTCCCTCGGGTGATGGCCAGCGCTGGCGGCAGAGGTCAGGTCGGAGGTGGGGTGGTGAGCGCCGTGCTCGAGAGTCCGGGCTTTGGAGTCCGAAGGGACCAGGGTGGCACCCCAGGGTGTGGTTCTCACTCCGACTTTCTGCGCCTCACTGCCCATGTCCAGGTTCTCTCTTTTTAGAAATGGACCTGACGATCTCTTTCTTGAGGTTGTCAGAGAAGTCAGCATATCTGTGCCAGTGGTGGCCGTGATAGTGATAGGTGTGATTCTTTGAACTAAGCACCTTTGCGGAACTGGAGCTGGCATCGATTCATCTGGTTAGAGTCCTTTTCTAGCATTACGTGTAGCTCTCACCGGTGGAGGCTTCACTAGTGGAGGCAGTCTTGTAAATGAAAGGGGCGCCCCACTGCACGCTCGACCACACCTGTGTGTTGAGGAAATGGAAAGAGAACCTTTGGGAAAGCAGTTCTTGGCCTTTGGTAGATTTGTGGAAAACTGCATTCCTGCGTTAACTAGCTCAATTTAGTGATGAATGTGTGCTATCCTGCATCTGGCCCTCTCCTTGGCCGCATGAGTCAGAAGAGTGGCTGGAATCCTTTGAGGATTAACAAAGGGATTAGTTAAAGTAGTCTTTTTGAAGGGAGATGATTTTCGAATGGCAGGTTTGTATTGGAGTGAATTTGAAGTAGAAGGAGGGGGTGTAGATTCAATAAAGGGATTTGTTGGGAGCCTAGCATGCATGAAATGCAGAGATGCTTACTGTGGGCGAGGCTTCACATTCATCTAGACTGGAGGGCCTCCGGGAAGGAACTCTTAGGGCAGTCAGTGCTGAGCAAGGCCAAGTGAGCTCTTCATTTATAACTTCAGTCTTTAAATCTGGTCCTGGCCTAAATCTGCAGGGGTTGGCTGTTTGGGGAGAAGCATATACAGACCTCTGTTCCTCTAGGAGAGGAAGTAAAGGATTGAGAAAGGTGAACAAGCAGTAGAGAATGTGGCCTTTCAGTGTGTTGGCCCCCATTTCTGTGTGTTCCCATTTGATATTGGTTAAGTCCAGAGCCCAGGTTCTGCCAGGAAGTATCCCAAGTGACTGAAAAGCGTAGGATGCAGGTGGGGTAAATTAATTTAGGGACATGAGAACCTGCAGATCGAGGTTTGCTCCCAGATGAACTGTGACTTTCCTGGAATTACTTTTGGGATCAGAAAACATCCACTTCAGAAATTGAGGATGGATTGGATACACTGTTTATAGCATGATTTTGAAAGGAAAGCTATGTGACTGCAATTTGGTGGCAAAACCTATGAAGTCACAACTTTGGGGACAAGCTTATCAAAACAGTTTGTGCAAATAGATTTGTGACTCTTTGCCCACCCTCCTACCCCCACATACATAATACATTTTCACAAGTCAGTATATACAGACCAGTAGGGGTCCTATTACTCCAGGATTACCCAGAAAATGTATTGCAAGGTAGAACTCCTTTATACCTGGCAATGGTCTTTTCCTGAATTTCAAACCTGATGTGCTTACTTTTGACCTCCTTTCCAAGTCCTCCTATGTCCTCTTTTTTTGGATGTAGACTTTTATGTCACTGCTGCTTTACTTTCTAGCAGTTAGAAGTAGAGAAACTAGGCTTTGCCCTCTGGCCTGTGTTCTCTCTTTGTGACAACTCTGTCTTCCTGATAAAGGAAAATCCTTTCCAGGAATCATTGTATCCTATCCCACTCCTTCTGTCTTTCCCAAATGTCCCTTCTTTTATCTCTCTAATCTTAGGTCACTTTACTTTGGAGCCTAAGGGTGGAACTTCTCTGCCTCCTGCCTTCTCAGTCTGTCAACCCTGTGTTTAGGAGATGACTGCTGGAGATTAGAAGATGATTTTAGCCTTAAGGAACTTTGGGGGGAGGCCTGAATCAGGATGGAAGGTATAGGGTGTAACTTATGATTATGGCTTTGCTGTCCTCTACAGCCTGGGCCAAAAGTCTGCAGTCAGCTTTTAAATTGGAAATTTCATGCACAGCATAAAAGTCAGCTTGGATCTTCTAGCACAGGGTAGAAGTCTGATTTGACTTTTACATTTCCCCTAAAAGGCAATTCTTTGTTTCTAGTCTTTAAAGTTGTTTGGCTTACGGGTCGAAGGCGATGCCAGCATTTTTAGTAAGAAATTTCTAGAAGTTACTATTAAAAAATAGCATTTAGCACTAATGTATATTTGAAATGTTGAAAATGGCAAAGTTTAGTTCTGAGGACTGGTTACTATTAAGCGTGCCTTTCTGATGACTGACTTGAGATCCAGAAAGGAGCCAAAAAAAGCTTTTGTAAAATTCAAGGAGATACATCAGTGTGTGCTACAGTGGCTGCACTTTAATAATGGAACAGCCGCATCATTTCCAGCCCGCCATCTGCCTGGGGAGAGGGCGCCATGAGATCTTAGCAGTGCTGTGACAGCTGATGGCAGGCGAGACACAGATTTTTAAAAAGCAGGCAGAGCAAAACTTGAAGTGCAGCAGATCAGAGACCGGCCAGGGTGAACTTCTTCCATAAGCCCTGCGTAGACACTGTAGCTGTTAATTTCACAGGAGTGATTCTGGTTCATCAAACTGTTGATAAACTTAGAATTCATTCCTTTGTTTGACAAACACGTACATGGCCTCTCTGGGTTCAGACGGAGTGGTGGGGACACAGCTGTGAAGATGCATGTTCTCATGGAGCTTCTTTCCCGGTGGGAGGGACAGACACTGGAAAGGCTTTCAGTGAGGAGTGCTGACACAGGACAGGGTGAGGACAAGGTGGCACGGCATCCTCTCTATTAGGTGATCAGGGAAGACTTCCTCCCACAGTGTGGTTGGTGTGTGGGTTGGTGTGTGCCTTGTGATGAGCCACAAGGCAGAGGGGAGACCTGGTGAATCCCAGGACGACAACCAGTTTGGAAAGAAAACCGAAGGCCAGTCGAAGGAAGAGGGTGGAGCCTGATGGTGTCCAGTCTTGTGGAATTTGGTTCTAGTGAATTAGGAAGTCTTTGCAGGTTTATGCAGCAAAGAGGTGATTGTACTATGTTGTAAAAAAGTAATTTCTGCTTATTGTGTGGAAAATGGGTTGCAGGGAAGCAAGGAGATTCTTAGAGGCGGTGCAGGTGGAGATGGGGTGACTGGGACTGGTGTGTTAGCAGTGGAGATGGAGCGAGTGGCCGACTCCAGGATCTCTGCCTACCTGGGGTAAACAGGATTCCCTGAGGGCCTTTCAGATGGTGCCTTGAATGAAAGGATGGGTGCTTCTGACAATTACTGAGATGGGGAAGACTAGATGAGGGGTAGGAGGTGAATGGAGGTGGGGCAACAAAAACAGAGATCTCTTTTCTCATGAAACAATTACCTCCCCCCACTTTCAGTGGACACTTCGATTGTTTCATGTATCACCAACTTTGAATCCACCCCAAATCCACAACTAGCTAGAATTTCATCTTGTTTCCATGCTGATTAGTGAGGCACAAAGATAATCAGAATGATCCACTTCAAAAAGGGAACCGACACATCTTGCTTTCTTTTATGGGCAAAAATTAGAAATTTACACATACTAGAAAGCGCAGTGGTTAGTTGCTGAGAGATGGCACAGCATCTTGAAGAATGGAGGCAAATCCAGGGTGTGGTAAAGATGAGCTGAGGTGCTGTGCAGCTCTTCAGGGTTCCTGGCACTGCATCTCTTGGCCTACTACCTGGATCTTGATTGGGGGATAATTTTAGTGCTGAGTGAAGATAAAGCACTAAGCTGATGTGGTGTCCACCCCGCCAAGGACTTTACCTTCCAGCAACTTGAACTGGCTCCACCCCCAGAGCTCACATGGCTGAGCTCACATGACCCTCCTGTTCTGTTTGGCACAGCAGACAGCAGCGTCTCCATCGCTGTGACAGTGAGGCAACCCCTGGAAGGGGCTTTCACTGCCTCATGTGTGCGGACTTTGGTTCCTCAGGCAAAAATCTCCCACTCAGATTGGCCCAGTGGCCCAGTCCACATAGTCTGCTTAGCAGCAGCCCCAGCATACTTCTTACTGCTCTCAGGACCACAGTTCAAGCCCAGTTGGCTCTGCCAGTAACCGTGACGACCTAGCTGGTCATGGCATTCTCCTCAAACTTGTCAGCAGTGACAAAGTCAACAGACAAGGAAGGTGATCTTCACGCTGTACTTTTCAGCTTTGGACATAAGATCTTTAACTTTGCTCGCTCATCAGACAGACATGCCAATCGGTCTCCATGTTGTTGAGCACCTTAAGGAAGGCAAAATCCATTTCACCACCATATTTTTGGTGGACTTTGTCCACCATATGATTGACAAGGAAGGGTTGCTCTGGGCTCTCCGAGGTCTTGGCCAAGTAGCTCAGCTCCTTTATCAAAAAGCCTCCAACCTTTGGTGGCAGATTGGTTCCCACAGGGAGCTGTGGGCTTGGTGAGCAGTGCCAAAAGCGTCATTGGTGTAGACATCCCCTTGGTTGGAAAGGGAAGCTTGGAAGGCCTCTACTTTAGCTGGCTCAACTTTAACCTATTTCCAGAAGCATCTTTTCCCTTTGCTGCTGCTTCCACATGAAAGGGAGGTTCTCCAGCAGGATGACAGACCCACCAGCGGGGTCAGCTCAGATTTTCTTCACTGCCGGGGCTCACCCAGTCCTTCAAGGACAAACCATCCTTGTGGAGCAGAGACTTAAATCCTACGGCAGCTGGCTCTGAGGAGGACTTGTCAGGCATGGGGACACCATCCGGCCCACCCAGGTGACGCCTGAAAACAACTCAGTTGGCCCCAATGTCCACACATGATTTGATGCTTGGGGTGGCAGTGTTGATCCTCCAGTAGTTTGTTAGCTGGTCGTGTTCAGAGGAACAGTGAGGTCC